GTGATAGTTGTCCAACATACGTGCGACCCCAAAATATATAAATGGGAATAAAAAAAAACTAATTGATTTATTATTATATTTCTACTGTAAACAGGTTAAATGACATTCTACCAGAGAGAGGTCATGGAGAGAATGGAATCCACCATCATAATGGAGATGCTAAAACCGATATTTCGTGATACACGTAGTTAAGTTATTATTTTAAAAATATTGTTAACTAATTTTAATTTTAGTTCTAAGTTTGAAAATAAATAATAAATGTCTTAAACTAAAAATAAAAAAAAAATTTGGCGTTGCACTATTTTTATTCAACTATTTACATTGGGTAAAATGGTAGCTGGTTTTTTTATAGATTTGTTTTAAGGGGGGAAAATTATTAAGTTACTACTCCCGCCTGGGTGAGGCGGGAGTGTCTGACTCTTACTGACTAAAAACCACCTTGTTCCTACTCCTGCGCTTCGAGCCGGAGCCCCGGTAACCCAGGAGGCAAACGAGCAGACGGATCACCTGATGGTGAGCGATCAGCGACGCCCATGGCGGGAGATGCCTGAAAAAGGCCGTTACGCTGTGCCTGTTATTTCATAAGACCTGTATGTATTACCTTAACATGCAAATAAAGACTTTGAGTTTGATTTTGAGATAGTGTCAGGCTCTTACTGCCTAAAAACCACCCCGTTCCTACTCTTTCACTTCGAGCTGGAGCCCCGGTAACCCGTTAAGTTCTCCACGGCTCCATTACATGTATACTATAATTAGTTATTTTTATAATAAAACCTTGACTTATTCTTATTTAGAAACAAATATTTGTGCTACCTGTTCGGCTATATATATATCTGTGCAGTTGCATTTTCCTGTTTTTAATAAAACATAATTCGCTTCGTTGGTCAAGGTCGAATCGTTTATTTTAATAACATAACATAACATCATCACGCCTATTATCCCCGAAGGGGTAGGCAGAGGTGCACATAGAAGTAACACCCACTTTTCACTATTTATGTTATGAGTCCCATGTAATCGGGGGTGAGCTAATTGCCATATACCGGGCACAATTCCAGACTCCGTGCTACTACTGAGATTTTTTAAAAACCCAGTAATACTTTGCCCGACCCGGCAATCGAACCCGAGACCCCTTGCCCGGCAGTCGGACTTGTGACCACTCGGCCAACGAGGCAGTCATTTTAATCATAATAATAATAATAAGGCACTTTTAAAAGACAAACGAGTTATTTAAATGTTCAATCCCAAAGTATTCACCGGTGACCGGTCCCTATATATATGTATATGTGGTGTACAAGGTGTTGTTTTAATGCCGCGTCGTTTTCTAGGAGGTAACTCGACTATCGATTCTGAGTCCGAATCAACAAAAAAAATTGTAGGTAATATTTTTTTATTTCTCTGTAAATTACGGAAATCCGTAAGTGCGAACTACACGCCGCCGCCTTGTAACTAGCTTTATAACGCGGCTTAACACACACAAACTCAAAAACGTAATTGATATTATTCCTAATTCCATAAAACTCCAATAAGAAACATTGCTGTCGCTTATTCTGAAATACTGTCAAACTGAAACGAGTTATTAAAGCCGTATTTTTAAGTATTGGCCCGAAATTTTCTCTTACATTGAACCTTTATGACTTCTGTGACATGCCCCTGAGAAATGACACGGCTTCAAAACTACACCTTGTGTATAAGTACTTAGAACGTTATTTCCTCGCATATATCTATACTAATATTATAAAGAGGAAAGATTTGTACCTATTTTTGTATGTTTGTATGTTTGTAATGAATAGGCTCAAAAAGTACTGGGCCGATTTAAAAAATTCTTTCACCAATAGAATGCTACATTCTTCCAATTTGACATAGGCTACATTTCATATTGAAAAAAATTAGGGATCATTGGTAAAATTTGAACAATGTAACCGAAGGTGTAGAAAAATGAGCCTTAAAATGTCTTTCTTGAACAAAATAATGTACAACAATATTGAAGAACATCATAATGTCTACAAAAAACTCCGCGGTAGCATATGTCCAACTATTGTAGTTATGTCACTACAACAATCCAAATTTCCAAAAATAAATAATTGTCTACCCCATGCGAAGCCGGGACGGGCTGCTAGTATTGTATAAGACTAGACTAAGTAAACTATTACGAGTGTTATTATTAAGACTTTTTATTACTATAAAATCTGAGCGATCTGTAATTGTAAATGTGTTGCATGTTTTTTAATAAATATATATTAATTTACTTTTAATATTTTTTAATTTTTGGAATTTAACCTCCTCTTCCTACTGAGGGAAATGAAAAGCGAAGAACAGACACCTGAACCACCCTGCACAGTTTGGACAAGATTGCAAATTTTCTTAACACGTTAAACGCCATGGGGGTCACCGGTGACCGGCGTTAGCGTAAGATTTACCTTCAACAGTTTTCTATTGGCAGTCAAAGTCTTAAGTAGTTGATGCTTACAGTCATAGTTGTCGATGATGCTTTAAAATTATTTTTCATATAGAATGGCTACCTAAACGTCCCATTTTTAGATTCATATACCTAAACATGAGCTTTATAATTAACATAAAATAAAAATAATAAATAAAATTAACAATCTCACGTGTTTTCGTTTTGATGGTTTACAAGGACACTATATAAAGTCGTTTGAGCAACATATTTGTTTAAAACAAAAGTATTTTTATTTATTTATTCACAAAAATTATACATAAATTATTATCTTTTACATGAAGAATCGCCAAACTCTATAACAGTTTGTTGGCGATAGTGGCGCGCTTGTACTTTGCAATATTGTTAATTATAATTACTATTAACTCGTTGAGTACCGTCATTATAGACACAATTATAGAACATTAGGTTGCGGTCACCGGTGTCCGCTTGGTGTTTGACAGTTTAATGTAAGGAATATAAATCTTTAGTTTTCTTTTCTTAAACCTAAAACAATTAACTATAAACTAAACTAAACAAATTATAAATTAATAATTTTCATATTTCCTAGCCGTGCCCGCAACTTCGTTCGCGTGGATTAGTGATTTACTGTGCTTACCCCGTAGGTGATAGCGTGAGATGTTAACCTGAACTGTTAGTAATATTCATACAAAATTTGACGAAGATCCATGCAGTACTTTTTTAGATCATCCCGGACATACATACAGACAAACAGACAAGAATTAAATTACAAATAATAAAAAAAATCATTAAGGTTAATGTTTTTTTTATAAAAAAAAAAAATTATAAAAAAAAACATTAAGTTTAAAGTTTTTTTTTATTATTTGTAATTTATATTTATGCTTGTATTATTTTTGTGTTGACAATTAAACAATATAATTATTTATTCATATATTTTAACAATTTTAAAGGTCAAGGTACTTAATTTGGTTATCACAAAGTATGTAAAATAACCATAACATAAAATAAGTAACATTCTTAGATCATTGTTACATTGCAAGTTTATTTCAATATACTCGGTACCATTCTAGACTGAGCCAAAAATATTCAAATACAATAAATATATCAATCTATTCCAATCAGTCTTATTCCTTGGATTTTTTATGCGATAAGCCAGTAAATGAGTAGATGGATCAACTGATGGTTAACAATCGGCGACGCCCTCATACACTTTGCGTTACAAGTGCGTTACGGGCCTATTGAGGATTAGGAATTTGAGGATTGTTGGTGATTCAGGGATTGGAGAGATTGAAAAAAAGAAAGAAAAGCTTTATTTCTCACGCTAAAACACACGTACAGATTTTACACATAAGTTTATATACATCTACTAATGTCCCAAGTCTGCCGTGAAATGGGACCAGTTCAGCATGTGCAAGACAGGGCCTCGCGCTGGTATTCTACTGGCCCCTTAAGTGACTCGCGGACGAGATTGAGGAAAGGGGGTATTGTGCCTCTGGTAACCTTATGTACACGACGTGAAACAACGCAAGCGTTGCTCCACGTCCACTATCAGAATTCAAATACAAGATGGCGGCTGCATGAAATTTTCAATTTATCATCAAGGGTGTCGTTTTCACGGTTTTCAAATGTGGTAAAATTGATGGTGCTGTCAAAATGTAACTCTTCACGGTGTACAGTAACTACCTTGTGTTTGGGTTTGTATAATTTGTATTATTTAGAACTTTGCACCTATGTGAATTATAAGTGTCTATTTTTGCCGCTTACACTAAAAATAATAAAATAAAAACTGCGTTTAAAAAACCGACTTCTCAAAAAATCTAAAAAAAAAGTAAAAGTAAAAATTAAAAAGCAAAAATATAACTATATTAGTAGTACTGATGAGTTACTCACACATTGACCGACTTCCAGTCGGTGCCATAAGCTCATATTTTTGACAACCCTGACCGATGCGTTATGTCGGCATTTTACACGAGCTCAAAGGCGTCGTCCTACTATATGATTTTTATACTGTGGTATTAATGACTGCCTTGTTAGCCGAGTGGTCGCAAGTGCGACTGCCGGGCAATTGGTCTCGGGTTCGATTCCAGGATTGGGCAAAGTATTACTGGATTTTTTTTTTAAACCTCAGTAATAAACTCCGTGCGTTTGGAATTGTGCCCGGTATATGGCAATAGGCTCACCCCCTATTACATGAGACTCATAACATAAATAGTGAAAAGTGGGTGTTACATTGTACAGTGGCATAATGTACACCTCTGTCTACCCCTTCGGGGATAAAAGGCGTGAATTAATCCATCGAATTCAATGATAATAGTTTAAGTATAAGATAATAATAATTTTTAGTCAGTAAGAGTCTGACTGTCTCTCGCCTACCCAAAGCCAAAAAGTCTTCTTTAAACAACCTGTCTAAAATAAAGATAGACAAAACTTGTTTGTAACCATAATATTTACTTTAAGCGCAGATGCTTTTAATTCGAAAAACGTGAGCGAACCGTACAATTAATCATATAAACATTTCCAAAAACCCACTCCAAAACATGTTAAGTACCACGTGGAAACTACTTCAATCTTGAATGCAATCTTCTATTTTTTTTTAATTATTATTGTTATGTACCACGTTTTTGTGTTAACGGTACAAGGTCACTGAGTTAGGCTGTGGTCACATATAAGTTTATATGTGACCACATCTAGTGCCTTTAAACGAGCAATTCTTATATTTACATCAACGATCTCGGAAACAGCTTCTCAACGATTTTTATGTTTAGGGGGTTTAGGGGCAATAAAGTCAAAATTATTTATTTCAATTAGATCAGGAAGGCACTTTTAAACGTCAGCAGCGAAGGGGGAAAATCATCGAATGACTGCTCCCGCCTGGGTAAGGCGGGAGGGAGTGTCAGACTCTTACTGACTAAAAACCACCCCGTTCCTTCTCCTGCACGTCGAGCCGGAGCCCCGGTAACCCGTTAGATTCGCCGCGATATCAAGGAAGAATTTTGGGACCAAATTTTGTCCATAGAAAATACAGCTGACTTATAACCGACTCTAACGCCACAATTCACACATAAAACCGACAGTACAGTGCGGAGTTTTTATAAAGTTGAAAGATTCGAAAATGCCATCCACAAATCAACACTGAGATGCGCTAAGCGATAAGTGGTATTAGAGATTGGAGGATCAATATTATAGGTGATTAGAACTGGTTTGATAATTAGTGATCGGTAACGAACAGAAATCGACAACGAGATTCCAGGGCAATATTAACGTTTCTGAAGATTTTCTCAAGGTTCTGAAGACTAAAAACATATTTTGGTATGATGAACCTCGCGAATATATGGACTTTCTCAAGGAGATGCCTCTGAATGAAGATCTTTACTAAACAACAATTTATTCACAATACATTATTGAACCTTAAGGCATTGTTTATTGGAGAGGTTCTATGTCCAGCAGTGGACAAATACGGGCTGATGATGATGATGATGATGATGAAGATGAAGACATTGAATAGACTATCCCGATCCGACTAAGTCTCCCAAACCCAAATCTCGGTAGACGCACTTACAAATTTGTTGAAATAGATAATATGTAGCTGCTAGACTATTACGACTTCCGCATCGTACCTAACTCGTTGATGTGAACACATCTTTATTTATTTGAAGGCTGCACTAAATTTGAAAATAAGCTAGTATATAGAATATTTGACATTAACGTCTTTTATTTTATATCCGAACGTCTTACAACACAGTTCTGCGTAGTTATTGTTGTTAAAAATGGTGTTATCATTTATAGTTTTCATTTTATTGTCTGGTAAGTTTATTTTTTTTCAAAATTCGGTTCAGATTTTGCAATATTAATTGGAATAATAGTATCGCGCCTTGCATTTATCGAAGTGGTAGGCAGAAGTTTAATATGAAGGGTAACATCCATCAAATGTAGATGGACACAAAGCGGTATTATGAAGAGGTGATTTAAAAAAAAATCAGTGACGGGACGCTGTTTGGATTAAAAAACCACACTTCAATTTTTTAAAGCTTCCTTGTGGGAACCGCTAACGTAAGCCTTTGCCATCATCTATGTTTCCCGGAGAGTGTGTAGTGAATAGGTTGTTCATGGAGAAACGTGCTCCGTCGTAGGCCGCGTAATCGCTTACCACCAGGTAAGATTGTGGTTAAACGTCAACCATACATATACGCAGTTAAAAAATTATGAATTTTGCCGCACATTATGATTTTATCCTGTGTCTTGGGTGAGTTTATAGGAGCAAAATTCTCATGCACGTAATATAGCTTCCAGGCTCAAAATCATGATCTGGCAACTGGGACTCGAGGTGGCGCTCCACAAGTCCGAGGCCAAGTGTTTTCATGGCCGTGGGAACGCGCCACCTCCGGATGAGTCCCAAATAACGGTGGGAGGGGTTACTATCGGCTACTATCCTAAAATGCGCATAACAATTACCCTGAAGAATTGTACCCTGTGAGAATCGAACTTGGCGATACATTGCGCAGTACCCTGCTATGCAGTAACTTCAGTTCTCACTCCAATTTAGTAATATTACGAATATTTTTAATAATTTACTAGGTGACGTAATGCCTCTAAAAGGTCACTGTTTTAAATAATTTTTATTTTTATTTACCTGCTTGCAACGAGGAACGAGTCGCTATTATGTATGTAAATAGTATTTTAATTTGACATAATTAGATAATGTATGCACATTTAAGAGTGGAAAGCCTTGTTTCCGCACGAATGCGCGTCGTGTGGGTGATTTTACCGGAGGTCCTCCCCAATCTCCCCAATACCTGAATGTTCAACAATCCTCGAATTCCTAATCCCCAAAAGGCCGGTAACGCACTTGTAACGCCTCTGGTGTTTCGTGTGACCATGGGCTACCCTGATCGCTTACCGCCGGTAGTCCGTCTGCTCATTGACCAGCTTATTCCATTATCCTTATCCTGTCCCGTGGGATTTTTAAGATAGAACAATCATACGTCCTTTCCAGTGCCAGTAGCTTTCGTTTAATAATATTAGTATTCAAATATTGACCCTTCCGTCAAATCACTCTCCCAGAGACAATGGGAGGAGCCGCTCCGCAGAAAAGTGAGCAAAAATCTCTTGAACTCCTCTTGCTCAATGGCAGAGCGAGCTTTTTGGCTGTGGGTGAGTGGGAGACGGGGTTATGGCTTCTTGCTTTGCCTTCGTCCAACCATAGCTACTTTGTTAGACCACACCAAGTTCCGCACTGCAAGGCTTGGAGCTTCATTTTGTTCACCTAATCGTTGTCGTTGTGGTGAAGATGCCAACAGCCTTGGACACCATGGCCTGTCGTGTAGTCGTGCCGTTTTGTTCGACTCGCAAGTATTAATGACATAATTCGTCGAGCTCTTGTCTCCGTTGGCATGCCAGCTATTTCAGAAACTAAGGGCTTGGACCCGACGGTATATCATTGTTCCCTTGGAATGGGTATGGGACTTTAGTATGGGACGCCGCTTGCGTTGATAATCTAGCGCCATCCCATCTTCCAAGTTCAACGTGTCTAGCTGGTACTGCCGCTGCTGCTGCCGAGAACCTCAAACGGCGAAAGTATAATAGCCTGATTGGAAATTATGCTTTCGAACCGTTTGGGGTTGAAACTTTAGGGCCGTGGGGCCCAAGTGTACATCTTCTTTACAAAGATATTGTAAGGAGGATAGTTCAGGTGATCGAAGGGCTGGCTACTACCTTGGTCAAAGGTTAAGCATTGCCATTCAACGTGGCAATTCTGCCAGTCTTTTGGGCACCCTACCTCACGATGAGGATTTTTTTATTTATTTCCAATGCCCTGTGCCTAAGGTAACATTTTTTTAAGGTGTTAATATTTTAGTTTTTAGTTATTTGTATTTGAAGTTGTATAGGTATGTTTATTCATACTTAAGTTTTTGGTATAAAACTCACTATGTCAAAAATATGTCAGATAACGATTTGACGTTATTTTTTTATTGAGTGGAGTTAGTTGAATGGATTGAAAGTAGCATAGGCTACATTTTGTTTCTTTTTAACCCACCACCTCCCTAAAACAGGGGATGGAAGTTTGTATGGAGCATTTCGTACCCTAAAATTGGTATAATATTTGTGACCAGCGAAAGATCGGGCACCTTTTTTTTTAATTTTGTTCCCTTTTATCTGTCTTATTAAACATAGCCTATGTCCACCATTGATAATGTAGGATTCTAACGGTAAAAAAATTTTTGAAACCGGTCCGCTAGTTTCAGAGCCTATTCCATCAACAGCTTATAAATGCCCACTGCTGAGCAAAGCCTCTTCTCACACGGAGAAGGTTAGAGCGTTAATCACCACGCTTGCTCAATGCGGGTTGGCGATTTCAAACATATAATTAGAAATTATAAGTCCAGGTTTCCTCACGATGTTTTTCCTTCACCGTTTGTCAGTGGTGTCTAAATAATCTTAGAAAGTACATATAACTCGGAAAAAGTCACATTGGTACTTGCCGTTGGTAGGTTTCGAACCCGCACCCTCATGCATGAGAAGTGGGCGTCTTAAACCTCCGGGCCACCACGACTATTCAATTCAAACAAACAAAAAATCAAATCATTCCTCTATAAACTATTAATGTAGATGTAGAAATAATTTATTTATAAGTTGTAAATACTTAATCTTAAAAAAAAAACGTCATTACTACCTTCCAAAACAAAACAATAAAACATAATATTAATTCATAATTATAAGGATGGCAAATAACAAAAAAAATTATAAAGTTGGTACCTAATATTATTTGTTACGTATATTGTCACGGTGTGTTGTAAAAAAAATGTATATATAATATATAGTAATGGTTTTCTCAGAACAAATCGCGTGTTAATAGTTATCAGTATTTACATCTAAATATATTTTTATTTTTTACTAGCTTTTACCCGCGGCTTCGCTCGCGTCACAAAAGGATAAAAAGCCAATATGACATATACCAATACACACAGCGCGATCTACACCAATAATTTTGTTTTCCCTCGGGAATATAAAATTTTTCCGGGATAAAAAGTACCCTATTATTTAATCCGGACTTCTAACTATACATCTGCAAAAATTCAAAACAATCGGTTTAGTAGTTATGGCGTGAAAGCGGAACAAACAAACAAACTCACTTTCCGATTTATAATATACTAGTGACCCGCCCCGGCTTCGCACGAGTGCAATATGCATGTATTATACATACAAACCTTCCTTAAGAATCACTCTATCTATTAAAAAAAACCGCATCAAAATCCGTTGCGTAGTTTTAAAGATCTAAGCATACATACGGACATACAGCGAAAGCGACTTTGTTTTATACTATGTATTGAAGTAAGGATTTTTACAAATTAAAGTATCAACAGGATATACCTTACTATGCTTGTTAGTCGAAATAATCCGGTCAGTGCAGACAATTTTAATAATTAAAACAAGAATGGTGGAGACCTTGAGTTCACTATTACAAATAAAGTCTCAAAAGATTCCAAATGTGCGTCAAAATTTTGTTCTTCTGTCAAAGCACTGATTTCAAATTATTTATTTTGGTATTTTTATTCAAAATTGGTATGTTTTTAACCGACTTCTCTAAAAGGAACAGGTTATCAATTCGGCTGTATGTTTTTTTATTTGTATGTTACGTGATTTCTCTGGCGTTTGTGGACGGATTTTGATGTTTTTTTTTGTTGTAAAGGTCATATTCTCAGTCTCATTTCCATTAGGTCAAGATCTGATGATGATATCCCATGGAAACCGAGGGGAACTTTTCAAAATTGTATAGGTGGCAAGAGCGTTTGTTAATTTTTTGATATAGTGTTTGATTTTATATTTGTGGTCGTAGTTTTACCATAAACTTAAGAAAATTAGATCTTAAAATATTTTTTTTTATGGCATAAGACGGTAAACGAGCAGACGAATCACCTGATGGTGAGCAATCGGCGTCGCCCATGGACACCTAGAACATCAGAGGCGTTACAAGTGCGTCACCGGCTTTTTGGGGATTTGAAGTTTTAGGATTGTTAGGGATTCAGGGATTGGGGAGATTGGGGAAGGGGAAGGTAATTGGGCCTCCGGTAACCTCACTCACTTTTTTCTTTCTTAAATGTTGCGGTTTTCGGAATCATGTTTCATAAAATATCACATACGCATACACATTAATTGTAGTATTTTTTCTGCAAATTTTTAAGAAATAAGTATATTGTTTGACGCTAAAAAAACGTGACGTCACAATACACAATCACAATAATGAAAATACTACATTCATATACTTCACGCCTTACAACACATTACGGCACTTAATGTTACTGTACAATGTAACACCCACTTTTCACTATTCATGTTATGAGTTCCATGTAATAGGGAGTGAGCCTATTGCTGTATACCGGGCACAGTTCCAGAGTCCGTGCTACTGAGATTTTTTTTTAAACTCAGTGTTCAATACTCATTTCGATATTTGAATCCATTTAATATTCTTCAAAGACTTGTTAACGAAAATCCAAAACTTGAAATTATTAAATTCTAATTACTTTATTTTTATATACCCATGATCTCATACGTTACAAAAGATGATACAAGCTTTATATTGACCAGCTATGTCTTGCCATCAACAGCGTACAAATGTATTTTATTTTATGAGATATAAGCTGGTAAAACGGCCGGTAACGAAATTGTAATGCCTCTGGCGTTGCAGGTGTCCATAGGCGGCGCTCATTGCTCACCAGATGATCTATCTGCTCGTTTACCGGCTTATATCATAAAAAAGAATAAAGTTGAAGAATAAAGAATAAAGTTAAGAATCGTACAACAGTACGACTATGTAACTATTTATTACTTACTTTCAGGACAAGTGCACCCCCTAGACATATACAAGCCACAAGCAGACACATTCCTAGATTCGTTGGGGCACAAACTGAAGCTAGAAAAGTGGGAGAAAGATGAAGCGCCGTGTTTGGAAAGTGCTTTAAATGTTTTGGAAAACGTGAAGAATCACACTTTGTGGGCGACATGGAGTAAGTTGAAATACAATTTTAATTAGATCGAAAACAAAATCATATGAAATCGTTGATACATACATTCATAACATCACGCCTTTTATCCCCGAAGGGGTAAGCAGAGGTATACATTTTGCCACTGTACAATGTAACACCCACTTCTCACTATTTATGTTATGAGTCCCATGTAATAGGGGGTGAGCCTATTGCCATATACCGGGCACATTTCCAGACTCCGTGCTACTACTGAAAATTTGTTTTTTTTTTAAACCCAGTAATACTTTGCCCGACCCGGGAATCGAACCCGAGACCCCTTGCCCGGCAGTCGCACTTGCGACCACTCGGCCAACGAGGCAGTCCGCACACTATCAACGGCACTTATTTGAAATAGTTCTAAACTTACCCTACGTGACAGTACAGTGTTGGGTATTTTATGTGTTGTGACACAAGATACATTCAAAAGGATTTTTACTTTAACTTCATCGGAAATGAACGTTCTGTCGCATAATTTAAATGTTATTTGAACGTCATCGTACGTTGTGCGATATTAAAATCTCGAACGATAACGTATAATCTCATTCTGTCCTCGAACGTGTTAATGTCTAAACCGGGCAAAACGTATTGTGGACTGTTGATTTATTCGTTAAATGTTATTTGTATTATTACATCTCTGTTTCCCTTGGGAATGATAAATGTTTCATGTTCTTACAGTGTGGAATGCCAATACACTCCCTTTTGGCAATTTGTACGGTTCCAGTAGACACTATGGGAGTTACGACCAATGTCTGAAGCCACCATGGTTGCACACTCATCCACAACTGAAGACCAAATACTGTTTTGCGGATTTCTTACTTTCCGAAAACAGTGATGTCAAAAAACCTACGGTTTATGATCCTTTCGGATCAACTTTAGACTATGTAGACGTAAGTATGACATGGTTGTTAAACTACTTCCCATATGGTATGGTATCGTCTGGTTGCCAAACCGATAAGGATAGGACAGTATCTCTAGCCGTCCATATTCTATCGACATATTAGATTTGAAGTGAAGCCGTTTTATCATTTTCATATTATTATCACTACTGACTGGAGCTCACTCAACGTCAATAGATGTCGCGGTAGGCCCAGAAGGAGATAGCAGAATGAGCTTGACGCCTATGAAAAGATTGGTCTCAGAAAGCTTTAAGAAGAGACGTGTGGAAGGAGTGTATGGGGGCCTTTGCCCTGCAGGGGGACAACCATGGTTAAAAATAAAATAATATTACTATTCCCCAAACCCTTTCATTTGAAATTTATGTTGAGTGTAAGATTTCTTTAATAAGTAACTCAATTTGAAACCGGGATACTAGCGATTACATTGCAGAATTTGTTACAAATACCGCACTGAAGTAAAATAATCTTAATGAGGTAGTAATTAAATATTATGCATTGGTACGACGAAGGTGACAAGCAGGAATCTTTCAAATTGTCATTTAAACATTAGATCACTTCTCGTTTCAGTCACAAACACCATACTATTTGCCCTTGAATGTAATAAAATGGGGCATATGTATCCCGGCGATCTGCTCATCTACAGCGGTCTCCAAACTGGCCAAAGTGATGTATGAATCAGGTACCTTGACCACCATAGCGTCTGACGTCACGGTGAAACACTGCCAGGAGGCTGGAGAAAGCCCGCCCTACTCTACTGGGTTTTATATGTTCATGTAAGTTACCTATATACATATAAAAGATAACATCATGCAAATAGGGTAGTTTCCTAAATTTAATTTTAATGTCTATTGATTTAATTTATATTGATTTAAAACTTTAGACACGTATTTTTTCTTTTCTCACAAAGTTAAATACTTTCGACGATATATTAATTTGAAATATCGTGTGACGTCACAGCGTGTCACATTTTGTAGCACGTTATGACGTAACGACTTCCCACTTCTAAACTTAGCGCCATTTTATCTAAGTATTGCAACTGAATACGAGAAAATAAAAAATACGTGTCTAATATTTTTTCATTATCTAACTGACGGACTAATTAGATTTTTAATTTTTGATACCCTGATAACTACCCAATTGTAATATTAACATTTTTCACGTTCATGTATTAACATAATTATTTTTGGCAGTTTCTTTTTGCATATAATATAACCTGTGATTTTTAAAGTTAATGATAGACACACACAATTATGTTTTTAACAGCTATTTTAATTATATTTTGGTAATATTTTTATTATCTATCTCTTCTTCATCTGGAAAGGTTCAACTTCACCTAGGACCCACAAAATTAAAATGAAATTTTGTCATATGCGGATTACAAGTATGTGTTGCTTACGTCCGTGAGTCACTGCAGGGGTGCCAACTGTAAATCAGTGTTGGGAGCACATGTTTTGTCTTCTGTGTCGTAGACTGGTTGTATTGATTGAAATCAAATAGGATTTTTAGGCAACTCTACGTCTTAAGTAGACATAACATCACGCCTTTTATGCCTCTTAAGTAGCTATAAGTTAAATAAGATAATTTATTTCCAGTGCATTAATATTGTCGCTGGTCACAACCGCTGTGGCTTCCACCTACTATCGGAAGCATGTTTCATCTGAAGAGTCTCCAAACAGTTTAAGTAAGAGATATAACATTACGCTTTTTATTTCTTTATACTTGTGTAGAGAGCCATGCTCTGACACGAATGGCCGCACATAAGACGGACGTGAAGCAACGCTTGCGTTGTGTTTAGTCGTGTGAGTAAGGTTACCGGAGGCCCAATTACCCTCCTCCCTAGTCCCCGTCTCCCTAATCCCCTAATCCTCCACAATTCTCACAATCCCAATTCCCAAAAGGTCGGTAACGCACTTGTAACGCTTTGGTGTTTCGAGTGTCCATGGGCGGCGCCGATTGCTTACCATCAGGTGATCCGACTGCCCGTTTACCGGCTTCTGCTATAAAAAAAAATTGTGCATGTTCAAGCCGTCGTCGCTTCCAACCGGCCTATCTGGAAGTCATTGGGGGAGGCCTATGTTCAGCAGTGGACGTCCTGTGGCTGATATGATGCTGATGAAGCCGTCGTCCATTCAATTTTTCATTTAACTATGATGTATTGTGCACCTTATATTCCAGAAACGATCATAACGGAATCTTTCTGCATGGTGAGGAATCGAGAAGCTTTAGTAAAGGATAATAAGGACGAGATTCGTGTGATGAACGGCATCAGATTTCTGACTGCAATCGGGATCATAGGTGCTCATGTGGCATTATATGTGACGCTATCTGGTGCCAATAACTTAACATATTTCGAAAAGGTAGGTTCTTGAACTAAATTATACTTGTTTTTTCCCCGACTTCAAAAAAGGAGGAGGTACTATGTTCGGCTGATTGTTTTTTTTTGTTTGTTCGTCGATTACTCCGCCATTTGTGGACCGATTTCCAAAATTCTTATTTTGTTCGAAAGGTTATACTCCCGAGAGGGTCCAATTTTCACGAGGTCAGGATCTGATGATGGAATCCTAGAGAAACTGAGGGTGACTTTCGAAAATTGTAGAAAGTTGTAATGCGTCTATTATGTTTTTCAATAAGGATTTTAAATAGTACAATTTGATTAGGGTCTGGAGTCGCCCTGATGGCGGAGCCGACAGACAGTCGAGGAAACTCCTCAACGGTTTATATTAACTACGTTGTGTTTGATTAATTTGTATTGATAAGAAGTTTACACCTATCTAGGTGTAGCCCATCTGGGCAGAGACTGTCATTGAGGGTCTAGTGATTAAGAAGTGTAATTGTTAAGGGAACTCCTCAATGATATACAGAAACTACCTTGTGTTTGGGCTTGATTAATTTGTATCGATAAAAACTTTGCACCTATGTGGATTATAAGGGGCAAAACAGGTTTATGTAGCTTTAGGTACACTAAACATAAAACTAAAACTGCATTTAAAAAAACGGACTTCAAAAATAAACAAAAACTAATAAAAAACTATAAAGCAAAAAATAACTATAATTAGTACTAATAGGTTACCCACCCACTGATAGGCTAGAAGTCAGTGCCATACACACTATAATCGACGAGTCTTAGATAGCAATTTAATATGTATTTATTTTAAGAAGGCTTACAGATAAAATGATTTTATAAGAGTATAATATTGACAAATTGCCAATTACAAGCCTCCACATATATATAAAAAGAAAAAAAAAGAAGAAGGTACAAAAAAAAGAGTACAGAAGACAATTAATTACTAACAAATATTAATTGTTAGAAGAATTTTATATTAATTATCAATTTAGCCGACATTTACAAGGTATCTAATAGTAACCTTAGTTCTTTTGCTTGCTGTCTAAATGAACAACTTTACAAATTACAGTTTTTGGATGGCATCTTCGTGTCAGTTCTTAATTTAGAAATTATTGTGGACACTTTCTTCATGATGTCTGGTCTACTTCATATGAAAGGTCTAATGGGGAGCCGGCAGAACCTGTTCGGTGTACTATGGAAACGATATATAAGGTAAACACAGCCAATGAGATGATTGATTCAATAACATAACATACATGACAATGACAATGACATGAACTTCCTTACTAATATTATAAATCTGAAAGTGAGTTTGTTTGTTTGTTCCGCTTTCACGCCGTAACTACTAAACCGATTGCTTTGAAATTTTGCAGACGTAAAGTTATAAGTCTGGAATAAATAATAGGGTACTTTTTATCCCGGAAAAATTTGATATTATAGAGGGAAAACGAAATTATTGGTATAGCTGATGGCGCTGTGTGTCTTCCTGTATGTCACATAAGCTACTTTTTATCCTTATGTGACGCGAGCAAAGCCACGGGTAAAAGCTAGTATAGCATAAGCCTGTAAACTAGCAGACGGATTACCTGATGGTAAGCAATCGACGCCGCCTATAGACACCCGAAACACCAAGGCGTTACAAGTGCGTTACCGGCCTTTTGGGAATTCGGCATTTGACGATTGTGGAGGATTCGGGGATTCGGGAAACGGGGACTAGGGAAGGGGGTAATTGGCCCTCCGGTATCGCTGCGGTCTAGCCGGCCCATTCGTGCCGTCATGTTTTTTTCATAATCATCATCATGACATTTTTCATAATCGGGGATTAAGAAATTAAAAGTACCCATAACCGACAAGCATGCATGAAAAGACTGATGACTGAGTAAGAATCGTAGCAATTTGTTTCCCATAGTCTCTGCCTACCCCCCATGGGAAACAAGCGTGAGTTTATGTATGGAAGTCACACCATTGACGTAAAAAGTTCACTAAAAATGGACAAGGAATTAGTCATCATCAGGACAGTCCGAAGGGGTCTCAGGTTCGATTCCCGGGTCGACCAAAGTATTACTGATTTGAAAAAAAAATCTCAGTTTGGAATTGTGCCCGATATATGACAATACTCACTATTACATGGGACTCATAATTATGTTATGAGTCCCATATTGTGTATGTGTATGTAATATATATTATGTATAGTGAAAAGTGAGTGTTACATTGTACAGTGGCATTAAGTGCCGTAATGTGCACCTCTGCCTATCCCATCGGAAATAAAAAGCGTCATGTTATGTTATGTTATTGAACGGAAAAAGATGAACTAAGAAAGAAAACTTGTTCTTTAAGAGATGAATGATAATAATTATATTTTGGTTACAGGTTGACAGGTCCTTTCGCCTTAATTGTCTTCTACTTGATATTCGTGTCCAGGCACTTGAACTCCGGTCCAGGCTGGTATGAAATAGATGAGACAGAAATTTGCAAGAAGTACTGGCTAAGAAACTTGCTCATGATGAATTCCAATTTAAAATACAGTGTGAGTACAATTCGATAGTTGAAAGGTATGAAATCAAAAATATAATTTTGCAATGCTGCCAGCCTTTTGGGCGCCTTACCTCATGACAATGATTAGGAAAATGCAAGTTAGTAGCAATAATCACAAAATAAAATACTTTGTATTCACTTATGTGACATATTCACACTTCCAAACATGGATACGTACACACACTTACATACACACCTACTACACATGTCCCACATGTAACGGGTTACCGGGGCTTGACGAGCAGGAGAAGGAACGGGGTGGTTTTTAGTCAGTAAGAGTCTGACAACCCCTCCCGCCTCACCCAGGGAGCAGTCATTCGATGATTTTCCACCCTTAAAAAAACACCTACTATACATAACAGATGCACACACGCACGCACAACACACACTTACTTACTCACTCACTCACTCACTTACATACACACACGCGCGCGCACTCTCACATACACACATATTCATACATAGTCACACACATACATAATACACATTTATATTTAAGCATTATGTTAATTTTTCTGTTTGTACTGTTTGTTTGGGAGCATGGGCCTCACGACACAGGAAATCCTAGTGTGAGGTCCAGAATACAACTAAATTGTAAAACTTTTTTGAAAACAAAAAAACACATTTTCAATTTTATCGTAATATAATGTCGAAAATACAATTAATAAAATAGACAGATTGGAGTAGGATACTTATGGCTAAAACTACAAGGCCCGAGGGAATAGGTTGCTTATTGGACGACGTGCTCCATCGTAGGCCGTATCATCGGTTACCACCAGGCGAGATAGTGGTAAAACGTCGCGTCGGCCCATCATATAACAATTGTTGATCTTCTGACGACTTTACCTTGTATGTTTTTTTAGTGTCATGTCATCACGTGGTACGTGTCCTGTGACTACCATCTAGCGGTCCTAGCAACTATTCTCTTTTACTTATATCAGAAGAATAGAAGACTTGGCTTTGCTGTTTATGCAGCTGTTTTTATCCTGTCAATGTTAATTCCTGGAGTGTTGACGTACTGGTTTAAATTACAAGGCGTGATTTTATTGGATTTTGGGTAAGATGTTTTTCTTGTCTATCTTTTTTATAGCATAAGCCGGTAAACTAGCAGACGGATCACCTGGTGGTAAGCACTCGGCGCCGCTTAGGACACCCGAAACACAAAGGCGTTACAAATGCGTTACTGGCCTTTTGGGAATTGGGAATTCGAGGATTGTAGAGGATACGGAGATTCAGGAGACTAGATAATTTGTTGTTTAATGTCTAATTTCTTACATCGTGAAATCTATTTCGTTTTCGTCTAGCGGCAAAGCAACTTGTCATAAATTTCGAACTAGAAAATAAAAACATAAAAGTAAAGATGCCATTATTTTTAGTTTAAAAGAGATTTTATTGAAGCATTTCAATAAGAATTTCTTTGTACGTGAAACACTAGACGTTTTGGAGGCACAATTCGTATCGCACGTGCCACCCGACGAGAAATACCCCTTCGAGAAGTATATGGCGTGTTGTTTTGATAATGTACTGAATAGTGAATGATGATATTAATAATGATGAGTTCGTATTTGCGCTTTCGAAGTTTATACAAAATGAGAGAGAGATTTGATACAAAATTAGCCGTATGTTTAATTTCGTACTGTACGAGAGTCCTTCAGGATTTCTTTTTAAAAAATATTTTTATATTAAAACTATTTTAATCAATTAAAAGGACCGAGTATGCAACCGTTCCGTTTGGAGATTTAATTCAGACTGAGGGATCTGGCATGCAACCTTACACGCTAAGATTTACCTTATCTATAATAATGATGACAATGCAGTTTTATCTCATCCCAGCATAAACCCTTACATGTCAGGGATATAACAGTACGTTCGTTATGTACCTATATCTGTTCGTCTGTGTCTGCAATACATTGTTTTCATTTCAGCAAATTTATTACTAACTACCGGGACACTTGGCATTTCAACTACCTCTACACGCCGTTCTACAGCCGCGGCAGTCCGTACATCGTGGGTGTCGCTATGGGATACTTCATGTCCATCTATAAACCTGCTGACTATAGGAAATCTGTATCTAAAGTAAGTTTTTTCTAACTACCTTATGAATCAGGGTTGAACAAAGCTTATGTTTTAAGTAAAATCGCGGGTTACTCACGTGAATATACTGAAAAAAGCTGTGCTAGTTTCGAACCACAGAGGCGTTCTTCCTCATTCATGAGCAGGGTGCACGGTCGCGGCGACGTCTCGCAGCTCACTGGCTGGCGTCGCCCCGGTGTTGCTACTTGCGCTACGAGCCCAACGCGCCCTCTGTCAGACACTACGAGCATTTGCCGGAGTTGGAAGCAAGTTGGAAAAACCCCTCTGTGGTTCGAAACTAGTAGCGCTTTTCTCAGTATATTCACGTGAGTAACCCGCGATTTTACTTTATTTAGTATGTCTCACGATAGTTATTATAAAAACAAAAGCTTATGTATCTTCAATAGGAATGACTTGATTAGTAATGATGACATTTTTATTTAATCTAATTCATGACATTATTGACAAATGTATTTATTGACATTATATTTTTTTATTAAATTGGCGGCATTATATTTTAAATTCACATAGATTACAATAGTTGTGTTGATAGTTTGAATTAGGAATGTATTAATTTTCCTTTGAATAACATTGTGATGCTGTAATATTTGTAATTTGCATGCCTCAAGGCGTAATATGGTCGGAACTGTATCTACTTACCTGCTAACATCATAATTTATCCATATTAGCAAATAAATGATTCGATTTGAAAACATCCAAGTATACATCGATGTTTATAAAAAATTGAGATCACAAAAGAAGAACTTCTACATAACATAGATCACGCCTTTTTATCTCCGAAGGGGTAGGCAGAGGTGCATATTACGGCACTTAATGCCACTGTACAATGTAACACCCACTTTTATTTATGTTATGAGTCCTATGTAATAGGAGATTAAACTATTGCCATATACCGGGCACATTTCCAGGCTCCGTGCTACTATTGAGATTTTTAAAAACGCAGTAGTTCGCCCGACTCGGGAAACGAAGACCCCTTCGACGGTCGCACTTGCGACCACTCGGCCAACAAGAATTTCTGTATATAATAATTGACTATTATACTTCCAGGCTTGGTCTATAATTGCCACGGCCTTGAGTGTATGTGCCATCATATATACCTTCCTTATGGTTTATATAACTGTTTGCCGAGAGTATGACCCATTGGAAGCTGCTATGACAGCAGGCACGAGAAGGTTCCTTTGGGCTGCAGCCGTCTGCTGCATTATAGCGATGTGTGAATATGGAACTGTTCGTAAGTATAATTTATGTTCAGTGGACTATCCTTCACGACGTAGGTATATGTTGTAGTGGCCCAGAGGCTTAAGACGCTCGCTACTCATGCATGAGGGTGAGGAGCCGAAACCTACCAACGGCGAGTACCAATGTGAGTTTTACCGAGTTATATGTATTTTCTAAGTTTAGAAATCAGAAATAATTTATTTCCCAAATATGTTGTTATGTAACATATGAAGACTCCCGGTACATTTTGCCTCACGCCATGCAAAAATATTGAATTCATTGAATACATTGTCTAAGTTGCTACGTTTGCATCTAGTTTATATTTCTATTTTTATATGAAATTGAGACACATATTGATCGACATAGAATTAAATTCATTTAGACACCACTGACAGATGATGAAGGAAAACATCGTGAGGGAACCTGGACTTATAATTTCTAATTACAAACTTGATATCACCAACCTACATTGAGCAAGCTTGGTGATTAATTCTCAAACCTTTCTCTTACTGTGTGAAAGAGGCTTTTCTCAGCAGTGGGCACTTATAGGCTGTTGATGATGTGATGTGAATTACCCTTAATTTTTGACATAATAATATTTTGATTAATATTCTTTTGTTGTTTCATAGCTCTGGTCTCCGATATGCTGAGTTGGTCCCCGTTCACACCTCTAAGTCGACTGTCCTACGGCATTTATTTGATCCATACCCTGGTGCTTCAGAGGTACCTCCTGTCACACCGATCGACACATTATGTCGATGTTTTTAGTGTAGTAAGTGTGTACAAGTGCTATTTTTTACGTTTATGTGTACACAAAACTGCGATGCGATGCGAATTCACAACGCAAAAAATTACGATACGAATTGCTGCGATGCAATTTCGTACGACAAGGCGTCTCCCAGGGTGACCTTCGACGACCGTCAACCGTACTAAACGTATTTTAAATTGAAAACTACGTCGTGACATGGATCGTAAAAGAAGTGTGCACTTCTGTTATTGCTTAGGAGATAGAGGAAAAAGAGACATAGAAGATTTTGGGAAGATAAGATTTAGATGCGAGATACGAATCAATTCGCAAGTTCTTGCGATGCGTTGAGGGAGCTCGCACATTTTTGCGATGCGACGTCGCATCGCAGTTTTGTGTACGAGCCCTATTATCGGCGCAGTTGTGGTGGCCCAGAGATACATGACGCGCTTCTCATGCTTGAAGATGTTAGTTTGAAACCTCACAATAGCTACGGCAAGTGGTTATACGTACTTTTAAGTAAAACTCAATACTTAAATATCGAAAAGTTTATTATAAACGGATTCTTTTATGAACACAGCGCAATACTCCTCAAACTTCCCACCAGATTCGCGCGTCACTCCACTTTGCGCGGGAAACTTTTCTAATCTGTCCCATTTGACAGATGACATCGTCAATATGACAGCTAGTGCTGTCGATAACATAGATTAAACTAGTGACGTTCATTTAGTTGATTTTCGTCGTCTAACAGTACTTTCTTAGATTATTTAGGGACCATTGACAAACGGTGAAGGAAACATAGTGAGGAAACTTGAGCTTATAATTTCTAATTATAAAGTTTAAAATCGCCAACCCGCATTGAGCAAGCGTGGTGATTAATGCTCAAACCTTCTCCGTGTGAGAAGAGGCCTTTGGTCAGCAATGGGCATTTATAGGCTGTTGTTGATGATGATATATCAGGAATGAGGGTTAGGGCTCGCCTGATGGTGAGCAATCTTGATAGTTCGAAATTAAGAAATAATTTGACCGCACGGTTGGTGCAGTGGCTGGGCAACCGGCTGCCGTGCAGCGTGCCCTGGGTTCGATTCCCGCACGGAACATCACTTAGTGTGATCTACTAATTATTGTTTAGGGTCTGGGTGTCATGTGTATGTGAATTTGTATGTTTGTAAACGCACCCATGACACAGGAGAAAATCCTAGTGTGGGGCAACGTTCTTAAAAAAAATATGTATAATTAATAATATTTTACCAAATTTGGACTCGAGAAGTAGTTCCGAACCTTAATTTTTGCCTAGCAATATTTGTAATTTTGAACCAATACATTTTTTAAGGCTTTTAAATTTCCTTTCAGGTTTTCCAGGTAATAGGAGCGTTGGGACTGTCAATAGTACTAAGTTACGCAATGTGGCTGTTTGTGGAGGCGCCACTGATTAATATTACTAATCATATCTTCCATAATAAGTATGTCAACTTTATTTTATATACTTGGTATTTTTAAGTGTTTTTAGACCTGACAACCGTGCTCGATAGTTAAATTTACCAGCTTTTTGCTGAGTTCGCGACCCATAAAGTTTGGACATGTCTGCCAACACCGCGCAGCGTGTTATATCTATTTTATTATCTTGTTTTAGTTTTATGATTTAGCTTTTTTTTTCTTAAACTTTTATATTGGTTATTATGCAAATTGTATATTCTTTTTTTTTGTTCCTTGCTCTCATGCCATATGTCGAATAAAACACTTTTCATTTTATTTCACTTCATTTCATTTCATTTCATGTCATTTCATTTCATTCAATTTCATTCCATTTCATTTCATTTCATTTCATTTCATTTCATTTCATTTCATTTCATTTCATTTCATTCCATTTCATTCCATTCCATTTCATTTTATTCCATTTCATTTCATTTCATTTCATTTCTTAACCAATGAGGCAACAATTTCCATTCATGATATCTCCCTTACAGATCAAACAGCATAGAATCAGATAAAATTCATGGTGAAAATGGAGTTCGTCATCGGAACGGAATTCATCATCAGAATAGAGTCCATCGGCAGAATGGACTTGCTAAATACAAAGAGTCGTAAGTATAAGATTTTTTATTAAAAGGAATGAAAATAAAAACCGGTAAATGAGCAGACGGGTTAATGATGGTAAGCAATCCTCACCGCCCATGGGTACCCGGAACCCTAGAGGTTAACAATTGCATTACCGGGCTTTTGGGGATAAGGAATTTGAGCATTGTTCGGGATTTAGGGATTGGAGAGATTGGGGAGGGGTATCCAGTAACCTTACTCACACGACGAAACACAACGCAAGCGTTGTTTCACATCAGTTTTCTGTGAGGCCGTGGTATCACTCCGGTCGAGCCAACTATCTGTTTTTTAATACTATGTATCCAGAAGCTGTTTCATTTTTATTAACCATGGTTGTCCCACTGGGCAGAAGTGTCAGGGCAGGGGTTGCTGGTATACCTATAATAATATATTCAAGGATTTTTTTTTTTTTTTTAAGGGGGGAAAATCATCGAATGACTGCCCCCGCCTGGGTGAGGCGGGAGGGAGTGTCAGACTCTTACTGACTAAAAACCACCCCGTTCCTTCTCCTGCACGTCGAGCCGGAGCCCCGGTTACCCGTTAGGTTCTCCGCGACTCCGAATCGGCATCGGCCCTATTGGGCCCCATCTGTGGTGGTCTGATGGCTCTTTGAGGCGCGCGCGGAACGCGACGCGCCGTACGCTCGGGTCTGTTTCTGGTCGGACGGGGAGCCACCCATGCTCGCCGTCCGCAGGCCCGCGCTTACGGTGGCCGGAGATCGTCCCGCGATCCCCGACGCCCGGTGTGTCCTTCGCGATGGCTGGGTTGCGAGGAGGCAGCGCTTCGCTGCCTCACGCGTCCCGCCTCCTCCTTAGCTAGCATGACTGCTTCGCAAAAGGAGGAGACGGCATCCCAATCCCCCTCGCTCCGCATCATGGCCTGCACTAGGCCCGGACGCGAGAGGTCGCCATCGCCGATCACTTCCCTGAGGACACGGCGGTGCTCAGCCCACGAAGGGCATTCTCCCACCGTGTGTTCCACCGTGTCCTCAGGGCGGTCCTCGCAGTGATGACACCCGGGCGTTTCCTCCCGCCCCATCAGACACAGGTACCTCCCGAAACTTCCATGTCCGGTGAGGACCTGCGTCAGGCGGTAGGTGAGGACGCCGTAGCGTCTCTCAAGCCACTCCTCAAAGAGGGGACTTACCGCTGCGATGGCAGCGAGCCCAGCCCTCGGTTGCGACAGTCGTTGCTGCCATTCCGCCATGAGATCGCGCCGGAGCTCATCCCGCCACGCACCTATCTGGCGCGGCAGCGGGGTTTCGCCCCGGCGACGTGCCTCCGCGCGCATGCTGTACACGCGCGCGAGCACCTTCGCCTCCAGATCCCACGGCGGTAATCCGGCAAGGAGGTTCGCCGACTCCCCAGAGATCGTGCGGTATCCGCGGATCATTCGGATCGCCATGACCCTCTGTGCCATGAGCAGCGTCCGAGCGGGACGCCGCAACAGGTTTGGCGCCCAAACAGGGGCGCCGTAGAGGGCCATGGACCGCACGACCCCGGCGTATAACCTCCGGCAGGAGGCGTTTGGCCCCCCGAGGTTGGGGAGGATGCGTTTAAACGCAGCCCCCGTCCTCTCCAACTTTGGAGCCAAACGTCGGAAGTGTTCAATGAAGTTCCACCGACTGTCGAGGACGAGTCCTAGGTACTTCATCGTCGTCTCGACGCCGATGGTAACTCCTCCCGCCGTTATTTGGGACCCACCCGGAGGTGGCGCGTTCCCGCGGCCATGAAAACACATGGCCTCGGACTTGTGGAGCGCCACCTCGAGTCCCAACTGCCGGATTCTCTCAACGACTGTCGCAACCGCTGTCGCCATTAAGTCGGCCGCCGCCTGGTGTGACCTCCCGTGCGCTAGCACCAGCGTATCGTCGGCGTAGCATATTGTGCTAACGCCGTTCGGGAGGTCGGTGCGCAGCACCCAGTCATAACCGATGTTCCACAGGAGCGGCCCCAGAACCGAACCCTGTGGAACACCGCGTGACATCTCTCGCCGGTTCCACTCGCCCCGGTGACCGGGGTAAATGACGGACCTGTCCGTCAGGTATGCCTCGATTACACGACGGAGGTAGGTAGGCACCCGATGATATCGGAGTGCCTCCAAGATGCAGCTCCAGGGCAGGGAGTTGAAGGCGTTGGCGATGTCCAGAGACACCGCCACTACGACCTTACCCCTGGACACTGCAGTCCCCGTCGTCCGGTCTCTAACGCGCATGATGGCGTCCACCGTGGAGCGCCCTCTGCGGAAGCCGAACTGGCCGTCCGACAGGTCCGGCCCAATGTCCGTCAGGTGCGCGACGAGGCGGTTCGAAATGATTCTTTCGAAGACTTTCCCCACCTCGTCGAGCAGCACTATGGGCCGGTATGCGGACGGAGAGTCCGCAGGGCGCCCCGTCTTCCGCACGAGGACCAGTTTGCCCGCTTTCCAGAGAAGCGGGAACTGGCCTCTCTCCAAGCATGCGCTGTAGAGACCGATTAATCGAGGCCCGAGAGCCTCTGAGGCCAGGACCCATGCTTTGCCATGCAAGCCGTCGGGTCCTGGGGCGGTGTTCTTGGCGCCCATCCGGCGCACCGCCGCTCTCAGTTCTGCCTCGGTCACCTCTGGGACGATGTCGTCGTCGTCGTCGCTGTAGCCCGCGTCGGGCACCGCAGGGGGCGGAGTCATATACGGAGGGGTGAACCCCCTCCACAGTCGGGGGAACAGGGCGCTTATCACCTCCTCCAAGACCTCTGGCCGGAGACTCTGAGTGAGCGGGGGAGCCCAGGCGCGGAGCTTATCGCGCACCATCCGGTACGGGCGTCCCCACGGATCTCTGTCCAGAGTCCCCAGCATCTCTCGGCGGGCCTCCTCCTTGGCCCGCAATATCTCCGCCTTGAGGAGGGCCTTCGCCGCCCTGTATCCCTCGTATAACTCCGCCTCTCTCGCCTCCGCATTAGGAGGACGGATACGGCGCCTGCGGTGCCTAGTGTACTGGCGTCGCGCAGTAGTGCACGCCTTGCGCAGAGCCGCCAGCTCTTGCGACCACCAGTACACCTGGCGCTTCTGTTGCCTCGATCGGATCCGGGGCATCGCCACGTCACAAATCCTGGACATGGCGTCCTGGAGCCACTTAGCCTCATCGTCGATGTCGGCAGGCCTGACCGGTGGTATCACCCAGGCCTGCACGATGGCGGCTTCCAGGAGCAGCTCCCGGTCCAGCTGTTTCAGCGCCCAACGCGGACCACATGGGGCCTGTCTGACCGGCGGGTCTGCGGACTCGGCGGAGACGTCGAACCGGATATACCGGTGGTCGGAGTACGTCTCCACCTCCTCCATGACACGCCAGTCAACGATACGCGGTGACAGAGCAGGGCTGGCGAACGAAATGTCCACCACCGACTCGCCCTGCATCCGCACGCACGTGGGGACAGAACCCCGGTTCAGGACGACTAGGCCTGTCTCAAGGGCCCAGTCTTCCACCATCCTACCCCGGACGTCGGTGAACCGGGAACCCCAAGCCAAGTTCTTGGCATTGAAGTCCCCGAGGACGAGCACGGGGAGGGAACGGAACCCGACGACGACGGTGACCAACTCCATCAAGGAGTTGTGGAACTCGGCGAGAGTTCGGTTCGGAGAGAAGTACACGCCCACCACAGCGAGCTCTCCGAACCGTGCTGCGACACAACCCCGACCTCTTTGAGCAGCCTCAAGAGTCGGGGTACCGGCGGCGGCCGACGATATGATGGTCACCGAGCCGTCCAGGTCCGCCACCCAGTGATCCCTGGGCGGGACGAAGTACGGCTCGGAGACCACGGCGACATTGATCGACCACTGCGCCATGCTCTGGAGCAGGAGATCCTGAGCAGCGGCGCAGTGGTTGATGTTCGCCTGGAGGAGGCGGAATGGGGCCATTATTGGCAGTCCATCCCGACCTCCTCAGTGGCGGCAGCGGCGACTGCGGCGGCAGTGGCGGCGGCGGCGGAAACGACGGGGGCGGCGGAGGGCCTACTTTTGGCCTTGGCTTTGGCAGGAGGGGAGCAGCCCTTACTCCCGACCCGGTGATTGGCCGGCTTGCCAGCCGCCGCACATGCATTGCAGTGCAGCGGGGCGGTACACGAGCCAGCCTTGTGACCGGGCCGACCGCAGCGGAAGCAACAGTCGCTGCGGTCCACCTCCGAGGTGCATTTAACGCTAACGTGTTCGCCCACGTGGCAGCGATAGCACCTCAGAGGCCGGGTCTCGAGCAGCTTGACCTGCGCCGAGACCCATCCCACCAAGAGCCTTTTGCCCTCCTTCAGCTTCTTGGCCGCTGTGACGGGGCAGCTCACCACCACCGTGCGCAGCCCCGAGTTGTCCGGACGGATGGTGCCCGCCTTGACCTGGTCAGCAGGGCACCCTCCCGTCCTGGCCACAGCGGCCACCACCTCACTCTCCGTGACGGAGTCGTCCAGGCCCAAAATCCGAACATCCACACATTTAGTGGGCCTGGACACGCGAGCCTCGTCTGCCCCGAGGCACGCCCTAAGCCTCTCAGCCAGGGCGTCGGCCGACGGGCCGCTGGCCGCGCCGGGGACCTCCAGTAGACGGGCTCCGGTAGCGGTCACCTTGACCGCAAACCCGTCCAATATATTCAAGGATAGTCGCTGGTTTGTATGTCCATTACATTTAAATTAAAGTTGTCTAAAGGGCCTCTGTGCAGTTGGCTTCGGCCCCTCGTACGCCTCTCATATGACCGGGACCCTGTGGTCCCGTGAATGGTAAAAGCGTATTTAATAATTATATTGTGATGTAAAAAAAAGGAGGAGGTTATACGTTCGGCCAGTATGTTGCTTTTTTTTTGTTTGTCATCTACAATTGTAACTGTCTGACTTTTTTTATGTTTTTTAATTGTATTTTTTTTTAATATGATGGCTATTTATGTATTTTTTCTTCTTTTTCTGTTATTGTAACTATATGATTCTTGTGAGACATACTAAATAAATTATTATGTTTTCGACTAACTCATTCGACTAGTTTCAAGCCATGCTAGAGGCTCATATTCGAGTTCCTCGTCAAATTATTACGTGAGTTTGCCGAAAACATAATAATTTATTTGATTCTCATTGATTTCTCTTTGTGTGTTTTAATGTAATTGGTGTAAGGCCGCGTTAGCATCACAATAACAAATAGATAATAAATGAACAGGTTTCTCATAGGTAGGAATGCTCCATTGTCGGCCACATCATCGCTTACCACCAGGCGAGATGGTGGACAAACGTCGACCAATTAAGTATAAAAAAAAAACATTGAATATTATTATTGTACACAGGTCAAATGGGATACAACCAGATAGAGAACGAGGCGAGAATGGAGTCCAACATCAGAATGGATTTGCTAAAACCAAAGTTTTGTGATATTACCTATATCGCTAAGTTTTACACGATACCATAAAAATATTGAATATAATGTAATTTTGGGCTATTGTACATTTCGAATTTTATAATATTTCTATGGTTGTTAGTTAATTTAGAATTGTTGTCTTCCTAGTAAGTTAAGTTAGTATAAAAATAAGTAGGTGTTTTTTAAACAACATAAAATGTAAACAAATACCTTAAAAGTGGTTTAGTTGATAAGCAGTTGATGAGATTGTATTTTTATGGAAAAATAAATAATAATGACGATGAACTATCAACTAAATACACATGCTGATATTTTGTTGTGACGTCATCAGTCGTAATTCAGTTATTTAACCGGACAAATCCCTGCAGTAGCCTAAGTTAAGCGGGGCACCGGCTCGAAGTGCAAGAGTAGGAACGGGGTGGTTTTTAGTCAGTAAGAGTCTGACACTCACTCCCGTCTCACCCAGGCGGGAGAAACCATAAGATGATTTTCCCCCCTTAAAAAAAGCCTATGTTAAGGCCTCCGTTTTTTTATACAAAATCTTACTGATATCATTTTATAGTATTATAATATATAAAAACTACTACTGAGATTTTTTTTTAAAACCCATTAATACTTTGCCCGCCCCGGTAATCGAGCCCGAAACCCCTTGCCCGGCAGTCGCATTTGCGACCACTCGGCAAACGAGGCAATCAAAACCTAAAGTATAACAATACCCTACGTATCTATCTAGAATCTAGCTCATAACGAGAAATCTAACATGACGTTAATGAAAATGGATGAAGGCTAAGAAAAACATAGGTCCTTAGTACTCAAGTACTAAGTTCTAGTTTCTGCGAAGTTTTAATTGGTTGAGGTAGTGCATCTGTTCTGGAAGTAAATAGACGTAAGTGCCTCGGAAGATGCCTTGTAAGTAGAATAAGGAGGGGTTTACTTTAAAAAATGGTTAAAAAGTTTTTATGGAATTGGCCTGTAAACGAGTGGATGGTTATATGGGACTCATAACAGCAATAGTGAAAAGTTGGTGTTACATTGTACAGTGGCCTTAAGTGCCGTAATGTGCACCTCTGCCTAACCCTTCGGGGATGGGCCTGCGGACGGCGAGCATGGGTGGCTCCCCGTCCGACCAGAAACAGACCCGAGCTTACGGCGCGTCGCGTTCGGCGCGCGCCTCAAAGAGCCATCAGGGGGCTTACTCTTGAATGCAATTCAGATCGATCGACATTGGTATTGTGAAATTTCGTACTCTTGAGTTGCAACACTAGCGCCCATTGCATCCGTATTGCGTGGATATTTAATAAACTAAATGGTATTGAGTATGTATGCTTTACATTCAGGTTGTATAGTTTTGACATTGAATAATTATTGTGACTTTATTAGATTGAAATTGCATTGACATTGAGATTGGTTTCAAGAGTAAGCACCCAGACCATCACAAATGGGGCCCAACAGGGCCGATGCCGATTCGGAGTCGCGGAGAACCTAACGGGTAACCGGGGCTCCGGCTCGATGTGCAGGAGAAGGAACGGGGTGGGTTTTAGTCTAAGAGTATGACACTCCCTCCCGCCTCACTCAGGCGGGAGCAGTCATTCGATGATTTTCCACCCTTAAAAAAAATAAAAACCTTCGGGGATAAAATGTCTGATGTTATATTATGTTATTTTAGCAAATATGAACCATATTACAAGTAAACCTTTCGATAAATAACAGCTACATATGACCCCTTCAACATAATCCAATCAAAATTTGTCAATAACATGATTGTTTCGTCATAATCGTAATTAGACCCCGGTTCAACCCATGAGCGGTCGTACGCAACGCTATTTAGGGTCACTCCTAACTCCTATTGAGGGTCAACCTTTTAGTTGGAATGTTTTGGACGGTTTTAGGTCATTATAGACGTATGGTATGGAGTTATATATTTTATCGGGTATTGAATCTAAATATCCTTACTAATATTATAAATCGGAAAGTGAGTTTGTTTGTTTGTTTGTTGTTCCGCTTTCAAGCCATAACTACTAAACCGATTGCTTTGAATTTTTGCAAATGTATAGTTAGAAGTCCGGATTAAATAATAGGGTACTTTTTATCCCGGAAAAATTTGATATTCCCGAGGGAAAACCAAAGTATTGGTATAGATGGCGCGGTGTGTATTGGTATATGTCACATTGGCTTTTTATCCTTTTGTGACGCGAGCAAAGCCGCGTGCAAAAGCTAGTAATAAATAAAATAAATAAATAAATATAAAATTTGTTTATTGGCATACACAAGTTTGATTACATGTAGACATGGAAGCTGTTCGCATTCACATAAATGCAAATACGGCAGATGTTCCCGTGGGCCCCGAACTAGGCACAGCCTGTATCTTGGTGGCCCAGAGGTAAAGGTTTAGACTAGTTAGTTACCGCGTCATGTTTGTGCAACCATACAACATAAAATAATGAACTGAAAAATAATACGAAAACGATAAACAAATAATAAACAAAGAGTAACAATTTTGAGTCTCTGAATCCCCAACGATGCTCAAACTCCTAATCCCCAAAAAGCCGGTAACGCACTTGTAATGCCTCTGGTGTTCCAGGTGTCCATGGGCGACGCCGATCACTTACCATCAAATGATCCGTCTGCTCGTTTACTGGCTTATACCATAAAAAATCTAATGTAAATAACAATCCATTGTTGGACTAAGGAACTTCTCCGGCTAAGAAGACCGCAGTTTAAACTGTCAAACACCAAGCGGTCACCGGTGACCGCAACCTATTGTTCTATAATTGTGTCTATAATGACGGTACTCGACGAGTTAAAAAGTTTATCAAAGAGCGCTCCAGTGCGGTCTTTATTTACCCAGGGCGGGAGAAGTCATTGGATGAGATTCCCCCTCAAAAAAAAAAGTCTCTATTAAATGTAAATTTCCTTTGTCGCACCCACGTGAAGAGTGGGATTGACGACATGATTCTGACGTCACTACAGGATTTAATACCCAGATTTGGTCCCTTTGTTAGTCAAAATACTTTTCTCCTTTTTACAACAGGGGGCTTACTCTTGAATCCAATTCCGATCGATTGACATTGATATTGTGAAATTTCGTACTCTCGAGTCGCAACACTAGCGCCCATTGCATCTATATTGCGAGGATATTGAATGAACTAAATGGTATTGAGTTTGGCTTAATATTCCGTACTCTGAATGCTATTTCAACAGCTACGATTGTGGTTGTATAGTTTTGACATTGAATCATTATTGAAATTTTATTGGATTGAAATTACATTGACATTGAGATTGGTTTCAAGAGTAAGCACCCAGAACAGAAAATTTAATAAAATATTGAAAAGAAATAAATCGAAAATAAAAACTCCATACATCACCAGCAAAGACATTTCAGCATTATTAGGGTTCAAGCAGAAAGCAATCAAATCCACAGCGAGCCATTTTATATACAGAACCCAGACGCTAGTCGTATAGGAATTTAATATACCCCTGTCTTACGCATAGCAAAAGGAATTTCACAATTGTACGAACAGACATACGAATGAATTTTCTTAGTAGTAATATCTGGGAACGTTCTGCAAATATCTTCGGTGTTTTCTATCTATTGTACATAAACGGATAAATAAAATTATTTATGTTTGTTTTTTGTTTTTCGCAGCGAGTACTGAAACGCTATTAGGATTTGCTAGCAGCTTCGCCCACGTTAAAACATAGCCTATGTGTTAGTTCAGACCATATTTCTTATGTCCGTACTTGGGTAAATGAAAGGTTCTTCAGCACGCGTGTAATGCAAACTGACTCGATACATCAAAGTCAAAGTCAAAATCATAACATAACA